GTTATGAGTTCTTACGTTTCAGAAATGCATTCTGAAGAGGTTATACATTGACATATCTGGGATTATTAAGTAATATAACACACTAATGTACATGGAGATAAAGAATACCATGAGATGATATATACCATGATGAAGATAGGGAGAGGGTTCATGGGATTTCATAACACTCTTTTCCATATATGGATACATTTGAAAATAGCCATTACAAATGGTAGACTATGTGCTTATAATTTGATATATTGAGAAATATAAATTGAAGTGGGCAGGAGAAAACTTGGTTTCAGGGATGCAAGCATGTATGGAAATATCAAAATGTACATTTTAAATATGTACGGCTTAATTATATATAGCATGTGCATGCGTGCGTGCGTGTGTGTGTGTGTGTGTGTGCATTTTGGCCACACCATGCAGCTTGTGGGATCTTAGTTCCCTGACTAGGGATTGAACCTGGGCCTATGGCAGTGAAAGCACCAAGTCCTAATGATTGGACCACCGGGGAATTCCCAAAGTTAACTGTATTTAAATCAAACTGCTTTTAAAAAGCAAATATTGGGCTTCCCTGGTGGCACAGTGGTTGAGAGTCTGCCTGCCAATGCAGGGGACACGGGTTCATGTCCTGGTCTGGGAGGATCCCACATGCCCCACAGCGGCTGGGCCTGTGAGCCATGGCCACTGAGCCTGTGCGTCCAGAGCCTATGCTCCACAACGGAGAGGCCACAACAGTGAGAGGCCCGCATACCACAAAAAACAAAAACAAAAACAAAAAAAAACAAATATTTAAAACTTGCCACTTCCTAATCATTTGACTCTTTTGTTATTGTCTGTTCTTGAGGTTATTTGTGGCTACTGTATCAGTATGTTGGAAATAGAATTAGTAGTGTGCTACTGGGGCTTTCCTGGTGGCACAGTGGTTAAGAATCCACCTGCCAACGTAGGGGACATGGGTTCGAGCCCTGGTCCGGGAAGATCCCACATGCCACAGAACAACTAAGCCCATGCAACACAACTACTGAGCCTGCACTCTAGAGCCCATGAGCCACAAATATTGAGCTCCCCTGCCACAACTACTGAAGACCACGTGCCTAGAGCCCATGCTCCACAACGAGAAGCCACCTCAATGAGAAGCCCGCACACAACGAAGAGTAGCCCCCGCTCACTGCAACTACGGAAAGCCCACGCATAGCAATGAAGACCCAAAACGGCCAAAAATAATAAAATTTAAATTTTTTTTTAAATTAAAAAAAATAGTGTGCTACTGCAATATCTTACCAACTTCATGTTCAGTGACACCATTTTGGCAGTTTGAAAATGACCATGACAAGGAAGAAAAAAATAAGAAAAGAAATTGACCATAACAGGGGTATTTACACCAGGAAAATCTGCACAAAGACTACAAACCTAGGCGTGATTTAATGTATTATTGAATACTGAGTCTTAAGAATGTAGCGGAGAATATGTTAATAGTGCAGATTAAACAAAAAAATATATGGTGCATGAGGGCTTTCAGTTGTGCAAAGGGCAAAAAATTGAGGAAATATAATTTCCTTCCAGTATTCAAAAATGATTGTCCCATAAGGCAAAGAGGTCACATCACTGAAGAATGAGTGAAATTCCAACATAAGTCTTTGTTGTTGCACTGTCTTGTTAAAATAATAAATAAATTACATAAAAAGAAAGTACTCAAAAGTTATAAATAGTCTTTTTACCAAAGAAGATAAACAGAGGACAAACAAATGCATGAAAAAATGCTCAGCATCATGAATTCTTAGGAAAATGGAATTAAAACCAAAGAGAGTTAAAACTACACACTTATTTCAAGGGCTAAAATTTTAGAACATTGACCGTATCAAGTGTTGGCTACCTTGTAGAGGAACTGCAATTCTCATACACTGTTGATGGGAAGATAAAAGGAAACAACCACTTTAGATCACTGTTTGGCATATCTTAAAATGTTAAACATCTACCTACACTGCAACAGTCTGAGTTTTTAACACATGGGAAATAAAACATATATCCATATAAATAATTGATTGCAAATATTTTAAGCAGCTTTATTTATAATACCCCAAACCTGGAAATAATCCAATGTCCATAAACAGATGAATGGATAAACAAAAATGTTATCCATAGAACAGAAGACTACTCAGCAATAAAAAGAATTAACTACTAATATAAGCATCATTGTTGAATTTAAAAATAATTGTGCAGCATGAAGTAAATCAGTTTTAAAAAAGAGTATACATCTTATGTTACCTATTTAAAATTATAGAAAATACAAACTAAGGCTTCCCTGGTGGTGCAGTGGTTGAGAATCTGCCTGCCAATGCAGGGGACACAGGTTCGAGCCCTGGTCTGGGAGGATCCCACATGCCACGGAGCAACTGGGCCCATGAGCCACAACTACTGAGCCTGTGCATCTGGAGCCTGTGCTCCACAACAAGAGAGGCCACGACAGTGAAAGGCCTGCACGCTGCGATGAAGAGAGGCCCCCGCTTGCCACAACTAGAGAAAGCCCTTGCACAGAAACAAAGACCCAACACAGCCAAAAATAAATAAATAAATTTTAAAAAAAAAAGAAAAAGAAAATACAAACTAACCTATTGTAAAGGAAAGTGAATCAATGAATCAATGATTGTCTGTAGGGCTGAGGAGAGCAGGGAATGAGATTCCAAAAGGGCATGAGGTAAATATTTGATAGATAAATTTACTTTCATGATTGTGATGGTTTCACAGCTTTACATGTATGTCAAAGCTTATCAAATTGTACCCATTAGGTAAGTGCACTTTGTTGCACATCAACTATACAAACCCATGTTGTTCAAGTGTTACCTTAACCTTTGCTAAATCTTAGGAAAGCCTTAAAAGGTGGTTCCAAATAAAAGCGTAGATATCCCACTTCTCTTGGAAAATTAGGTTGGCAATGCTGTATGGTCTCTACCATCTCTCTCCTTATGCCCTGGGAAGTGCAGCCTTGACTCAGTGGCAGCCAATACTGGCAAGCAATGAAGGCTGCTGCCACTTGAATCAACAGAACTGCTCGCTGGGTCACAAAACACACATCCTTGGATTACAGGACTGCCCTTTTCTCTATCCTTGTTTTCCCACCAGTAGAGCAATGCCTTTGAGGGAACAGCCCAGAAAGGCTATAGGAATCCACAAACCTCAGCTACAGGAAATACAGTTACGGAGATCCTGAGAATTTCTGTACACACTGATCACACAGGAATAGTCACTGGAGCATTTGTGGATGAACATTTAGAAGAGGTACATTCCATCTAATTTACTGCAGTCTCCTCATCTCCCTATTAATCCAGTGTTTCTGCACCAACAAAACCACCCCCCCCCAAAAAGCAAGTCCCCCTGGTAAATTTATGATTAACATCTCTACACAAAACTGTATTCCTTTTCTCGTCCTGACCCTGTTCCCCTCAGGATTGAGGGGTATCAAATAAAAGCAGGACCCTGTGGGCCCTCCTGGGTACAAAAGCCCCTCCATGTATCCCTTGTTTGTTAGTAGAAAGAGGTTTTAGTCTCCAAGGTCTTCCCTGAGTTCCAAAGAGCAGACTCAAGCAGTTCCTAATTAGGGAAGTGAGGGAATACAGAAACAAAGGAAAAGCAGTCAAGGAAGAAAAGTAATGACAGCTTAAACAATAGTTCAGCAATAAATCAGAGTCCTTGTTCCTCCTCAAGTGATACATATAACAACAATCTGACACATATCTTTGTGCTGTTTGGCAGAAACCAAGACCCCCACCCAGGTGGAAGATGGTGACTACATGCTGTCCACAAGCACATAGACTGCAGATAAGATAACTAAAACATCACCCTGTTACCTCAATACTAAGAAATCAGAAGAAAGTCCATGAGCTGCAACACTCAAACCAAATGTTGCCTTTAAAAGCCCTTCCTTGAAAACCACTGGGGAGTTCAGGTCTTTTGAACATTAGCTGCCCATTCTTGCTTGATGCCCTACAGTAAATGCTGTACTTCACTTCATCATAACCTTGCGTCAGTAGATTGGCTGTGCTGCACATGGGCAAGTGGACCTGAGTTTGGTTCAGTAACACAAATTATGGTTCTACCTGACCCTTGTAGTCTAACAATAAATGACACTGAAAATGTCATTGAAAATTTGTATATCGTGGCACATGGCTCCTTTATAGGACCTGGGGATGACGTCCCCTCAATGGTGCTGGGAATTATGTGAACAAGGGAATAAAATTCATGTTGGTCACAGAAGCACTGGGGGTTCTCACAACAAAGGCCTCCTCTTCAGGGTGGCTTCTGGCCTCTCTGAAAATCCTGGCACCAGTCCAGCAATTAGGACCACAGAGACCTGCAGTCTTTCTATCAAGGCCTTGGGAAGCAATGCAAATTAATCTGTTCACCTCTACATGCTAACGGATCACAATTCTGCTTCCAAACCCCCATGCAAGATAGAAAAGAACCACCAAAATTAAAGATGCAAGAGGAGGCCTTTACAAAAGATCACAAACCAGAGTAACATGCAGCAAGCAGTTTCCAGGTTGGTAAATTAGAACCTGGAAAAATTCATCACAAGTATGTGAGAACAATGATGTCCCTGAAAAAGGTAGTCCTTAGCAAGCTGAGGATAGGTCCTTTGGACCCAACCTGGGTAAGGTCCATTCCCTAACATCAGAGAGAAAGGAATGAGGATCCTGCTAAGGGTTTGGGCTATTCATAATTTCCTCACGCAGATGGGAGAACACAGAGTTCAGCTTTCCTGAGCCTGTTGGCGTGGTGCCTTATGTACAGGGGTGAAATGGCTTCAGCCACAGAAAGTGGCAGTGACATAAATCTAACAGCAGCTCTGGGCAGGTTACAAGGTATAATGCATCTCCTTAGATGTAACTGAAACTTATGAGCAATCTTGCATGATGGATGTTTGAATAAATGAGGTTTAAACTCAGATAAATGGCTCTCACACAGTCTCCTCCAGTGTTGCTATACTGAGTGAGGAAATAAAACATTCCCTGCACATTTAAGGCTTTTCTCCAGCATGAACTCTCCAGTGTCTGAGGAGGTTAGGTTTGCGGCTAAAGGATTTCGCACATTCACTACATTCATAAGGTCTTTCTCCCGTGTGAACTCTCTGGTGTTGAATGAGGTCAGATTTATGAGTAAAGAGTTTCCCACATTCACTGCACTCATAAGGCCTCTCACCAGTGTGCCTTCTCTGATGTTGAATGAGGCTAGAACTTTGGCTAAAGGATTTCCCACACTCATTACACTCATATGGTTTTTCCCCAGTGTGAACTCTCTGATGTTGAATGAGGCTAGCACTTTGGCTAAAGGATTTACCACATTCCCCACATTCATAAGGCTTTTCTCCAGAATGAATTCTCCGGTGTTGAATAAGCCCAGAGCGTTGTCTAAAGGATTTCCCACATTCAATGCACTCATAAGGTCTTGTGCCAGTATGAATTCTCTGGTGTTGAATGAGGTCAGATTTGCGGGTAAAAGATTTTCCACATTCAGTGCACTCGTAAGGTCTTTCTCCAGTGTGAACTCTCTGATGTTGAATGAGGATAAATTTGCGACTAAAGGATTTTCCACAAACACTGCACTCGTATGGTCTTTCTCCAGTATGAACACTCCGGTGTCGAATGAGGTTAGAGAACTGTCTAAAGGACTTCCCACATTCACTGCACACATAAGGCCTTTCTCCACTGTGAATTCTCTGGTGTTGAACGAGTTCAGATTTGCAGCTAAAAGATTTCCCACATTCGCTACACTCATAAGGCATTTCTCCAGTGTGAACTCTACCATGTCGAATGAGATTAAAAATTTGTCTAAAGGCTTTCCCACATTCACTGCACTCATAAGGCCTTTCTCCAGTGTGAACTCTCTGGTGTCGGAAAAGGCTAGAACTTTGTCTAAAGGACTTCCCACATTCACTGCACTCATAAGGTCTTTCTTTAGTGTGAACTCTCTGGTGTTCAATGAGGTTGGATTTGTAGCTAAAGAATTTCCCACACTCACCACACTCAAAATGCATTCCTCCAGTGTGTTGTCTCTGGTGGTGAATGAGTTTGGATTTGTGACTGAAGACTTTTCCACATTCACTGCATTCATAAGTCCTTTCTCCAGTGTGAATTTTCTGGTGTTTTCTAAGACTAAATTTGTGGGTAAATAATCTTTCATGTTCTCTGCATCCATAAGGCTTTGTACCACTGTGAATTCTCTGGTGTTTAACAAGACCAGAGATATGGCTAAAGAATTTCCCACATTCACCACACTCATATGGCCTTTGTCCAGTGTGAATTTGCTGGTGCTGAACAACTCTGTAGTTGCAGTTGAAGCCTTTCTTACATTTGTTACACTCATAAAGCCCTTCTTTAGAGTGGACACTTTTATCTTGAACAAGTGTGTGGCTGTGGCTGGCAACTTTTTCACATTCACCCCACTTGTAATGACTTTTTTCACTGTGAAAGGCTTGTCCACTCTTGCTGCCACTCTGTAGTTCCTCACTGTTGGGTGTGGCCTGGTGCTGGAGAAGGCCCAAGGTGGCTGGGAAGTCCTCCCCAACCACCCCACAGGTGAAAGGCTTCCCTGGCACAAAGAAGTTGCAGCTCCTCACAAGCGAGGCCCTGTCCACATCTCTTTTCCAGGGCTTCTCTCCACTGTCATGCTTCTGTTGCTGGCGAAGATTTGCAATGAAACAGAAGCATCTCACATATGTGCCACCCAAGTCTGGTTTCTGCAAAGGGTATACTGTTTGGTGCTCAGCTTGCTGCAAAATATCTTTTAAGATGGGGACACACATCTCACAGGGGTGGGTCTTCTGGGTAGATGGACCTGCCTTAGAAGCCCTAACCTGTGACTCTCCTTCTATAGATATACTCTGCTCAGAAGGGGCCTCCTCATCTTCTGTTCCATGGCAACAACCTGAAAGCAGAGAAACGCTGAGGAAATGCATGTTTACTTTGGTGGGAAAGTGAAGCCCCATAACAAAGGTGTGTCAGACACAACAAAGAATGAGCCATGGGTTTGTTCTAAAAACAAGGAAGCTGGGGGCAAGCTGAGGAAGTGGCTGCTTGGAAGCAGTGGGCAGGCCTCTGAAGATCACAAATAGGGGAGACCTCACCAGACAAAGGACACAAGGATGGGTTGCACCACACAGAGCAGAGGCAAGGCTTCCAACTCATTCCTCTCCCAACAACCTTCAGCTGTGGGGCAGGCTGGTTGTGTCCTGCCCCAGTAAAATCCAAATGGAATCAAGTAGCTGGCGTTCGAGGAATATTTAAGGATATGTGCACACCTCATGATACATGTGCAGGTCAATGGGGGAGAACACTGCAGAGGGAGCAGTACAGAGGAACATGTGACCTGTGGAAGCCACAAAGGTGAAGGCAGTCAGGAGCTGGAAGTCACAGATGAACTAACAAGTCAGCAAAGTGTCAAGTATGGGGAAAAGGTAGAAATGAAATGCAGTCAGTGGCACTACTGGTCACTGGGCAGGCTCCTGGTTTGATATGAAAACAGCCATGATGTCATGTCCTCCTCCAGCTGTCACTCACCAGGCCCAGGCAGGCTCTCCTCTGAGACCATCTTACCATGTCTACTCTGTGAAACAACCAGGGTTCTCTCTGCACCCTCCATTGTACAACTACTCAGAACCTGAATAACGCAAGTCTTATGAAAGACAGCATAGGGGAGTGGCCAACACTGGCCTAGAGCAACTTGCCATATGACAGTATTCAGTAAAGAAAACATTACATATAATTGAATCACTTTGCTGTACACCAGAAACTAACACAACATTGTAAATCAACAATAGTTCGATTTTTTTTTAAAGTCTCTAATAAAATGAGATACTCCTGGAGAAGAAAAAGAAAACATTACAAAAAACAACTAAAGGAGAGTCTTACAAAAACAGCCCATGGATCATGTAAGTAATGACCATGATCTGGCACAGGCAGTCACAAAGAACTTTAGCTAGAAGAAGGGGGAAGAACTGGAGGCCATGGATCTGGACATAGTCACTCCACCAGGGAGAGGACAAGCAAGTTGGGATTCATTAAGTCAACTACAAGATTCCTGACTCCCAGACCCATCTCTGCACTTCTGGAGGCAACAGGTGTTAGGGATGTTTGGAGAGTCCATTACTCAGGGCATGACACACAGCTCAGTGCTGGCGTCCACAGCACATCTGACAAGAAAGTAGAGGAAATTAGCAGAGCCCATGATCCAGCTGTGGAAAAGACAATGCTAACTCCAGGGAAAAAAGGAAAAACAGGACATCATCTCAGAACACTGGAAAGAG